GTACACACAGTATACACAGTTCACACAGTACACACAGTATACACAGTACACACAGTACACACAGTATACACAGTTCACACAGTTCACACAGTATACACAGTTCACACAGTACACACAGTATACACAGTACACACAGTACACACAGTACACACAGAAGTCCGCTCTATCATAGTTTTTCAAAATAAGACTGGACATGACACATAGTTGGCTGATTGATGGATGAGCTGCACGATCAGCATGTAATTTTTATTTAAAATGAATTGTTTTAATTTATTGAGCACCTGCTGCCCCTCTGTGCAGCCCACATGCAGGATAAACTTCCTGCTGCAGCTGATCAACTTGCAGAGCGGAGAAGTGGGCGGGGCCAAGAACGCTTGCAGGTGGCTGAGAGCAGCGGAGGCAGAGAGCTGAAATCATGACGTGCTGTCTCTTATAGAGTTTACAAACATTGTTTACAATATTGCAAGAGTGTGGGGTTCTATACATATATATATAATATATAAATATACATATATACAGGTCCTTCTCAAAAAATGAGCATATTGTGATAAAGGTCATTATTTTCCATAATGTAATGATAAAAATGAAACTTTCATATATTTCAGATTCATTGCACACCAACTGAAATATTAATGCTCACAGAGCCAAAACCACTGGTAACTGGTTTACTGACCATGGTATTACTGTGCTCAATTGGCCTGCCAACTCTCCTGACCTGAACCCCATAGAGAACCTGTGGGATATTGTGAAGAGAAAGTTGAGAGACCAAGACCCAACACTCTGGATGAGCTTAAGGCCGCTATCGAAGCATCCTGGGCCTCCAGAACACCTCAGCAGTGCCACAGGCTGATTGCCTCCATGCCACGCCGCATTGAAGCAGTCATTCATGCAAAAGGATTCCCGACCAAGTATTGAGTGCATAACTGAACATGATTATTTGAAGGTTGGTGTTTTTTGTATTAAAAACACTTGTCTTTCATTGGTGGGATGAAATATGCTAATTTTTTGGGACAGGCATTTTGTGTTTTCATGAGCTGTATGCCATAATCATCAGTATTAAAACAATTAAAGACCTGAAATATTTCAGTTGGTGTGCAATGAATCTGAAATATATGAAAGTTTCATTTTTATCATTACATTATGGAAAATAATGACCTTCATAACAATATGCTCATTCTTTGAGAAGGACCTGTATATATGTATACACATATGTATATATACATATAGTATATACATACTACTTGTACTACTATTCCTACTTGGTGGTTTTTAACTTATCACGGGTCTTCAGGGTACAGATCCCCCGCGATAAATGAGGGACTACTGCAGTTATATATAGATATTTATTTTCATTTATTTTTAATTTTCAAGTATTTATTTTTAATTTTCATATATTTATATTTATATCTCCTGCAGCTTCAGAAAAATCCAACAAGCAGAACGAAGCTCAGAACTTTGTACAAAGATCAGATGTTTAAAGGCGGTCCTGTTTGGACCTCCAGCTCAGGCTTCAGAACCATCATTAAACGGGTCAGGCTTCAGAACCATCATTAAACGGGTCACACACTTTCAGGCAGCAGCTGTCGTTCTTCAACATTTCTGATGAAAGTTTCGGTTTATACTCATCAGTTGTTCGGATGCAGGCGACTGTCGTCACAGTGTGTGTGTGTGTGTGTGTGTGTGTGTGTGTGTGTGTGTGTGTGTGTGTGTGTGTGTGTGTGTGTGTGTGTGTGCGCGCGCATGCACATGCGTGTGTGTGTGCTCTCAGGTGTGTACGGTCTGCCCAGGTGTCCTGGGGAGCACTCCTACATCTGCAACATGATCCGTGAGGCTCTGAACAGAGGGGCGTACAGCGACCTGGTGCAGAAACAGTGAGTCCAACAGGAAGTTCTGGTTCTGGTTGGGTTCTTCCTCTGAGTCGTGTTTTTACAGGAAGTGTGTGTGTTCAGCCTCGTGCAGGCCCAGTACTGGCACGACCCGCTGAACGACGACCTATACAGGAAGTACAGCCTGTTTCTGGCCGACATCAACCAGGAGCGGGTCGGTACCGGCAGCCTCGAGTCATCAATTTGTTCTGTCATCGGGTCCGGTTAACCACCTGTGGTTCTGTTTCAGTTTGTAAACGAGACCTACAAGAAGAACCTGCAGCAGCTGAAGAAGTTTGTGATGGTGAAGTTCCTGCAGGACACCGTGGTGGACCCGGTTGATTCTGAGGTAACCGGGTCAGGATCAGTGGTTAGAACCAGAACCACGTGTATTCCCTGTAGTGATCATGGGTTTGAGTAAATCTGTGAGGAACTTACTAGTTTTAGCTACATTTTGGCTAGTTTTAGCTTTTAGCTACATTTTGTTAGTTTTAGCTACTTTGTCTAGTTTTAGCTTTTAGCTACATTTTGTTAGTTTTAGCTTTTAGCTACATTTTGGCTAGTGTTAGCTACATTTTGTTAGCTTCATTTTGGCTAGTTTTAGCTTAGCTACATTTTGTTAGTTTTAGCTACATTTTGTTAGCTACATTTTGTTAGTTTTAGCTACATTTTAGCTTCATTTTGGCTAGTTTTAGCTACATTTTAGTTTTAGCTACATTTTGGCTAGTTTTAGTTTTTAGCTACATTTTAGTTTTAGCTACATTTTGTTAGCTACATTTTGGCTAGTTTTAGCTTAGCTACATTTTGTTAGTGTTAGCTACATTTTGTTAGCTACAGTTTGGCTAGTTTTAGCTACATTTTGTTAGTTTTAGCTACAGTTTGGCTAGTTTTAGCTACATTTTGTTAGTTTTAGCTACATTTTGTTAGTTTTAGCTACATTTTGTTTTAGCTACATTTTGTTAGTTTTAGCTACATTTTGTTAGCTACAGTTTGGCTAGTTTTAGCTTTTAGCTACATTTTGTTAGCTACATTTTGTTAGCTACATTTTGTTAGTTTTAGCTACATTTTGTTAGTTTTAGCTACATTTTGTTAGTTTTAGCTACATTTTGTTAGTTTTAGCTACATTTTGTTAGTTTTAGCTACATTTTGTTAGCTACATTTTGTTAGTTTTAGCTACATTTTGTTAGTTTTAGCCACCAGTTTTAGCTTCTCTATTGTAGTTATACAAACTGCAGTGAGGTGGCTCAGCGTTTTTCTACGTGTTGGTGTTTGCCTCAGTGGTTCGGCTTCCTGAAGACGGGTCAGGCCAAAGAGACGGAGACTCTGCAGGACAGCGTCCTCTACAAGGAGGTGAGGACGCCCCGCCGTCCCTCTTTCATCTGATGTTAGACGTGAACTTGTTCCGTTATGAACGTTGACAGAATCTCTGGTTCTGGTCAGATCCATCTGAAGGTTTCTGCTCCGTGACCTTCAGTCTGACCTTGGATCAGACTCCAGAATGTCCTCAAGTGTCCTTAACATTGTCCTCCTCGTGTCTCTGCAGGACCGTCTGGGTCTCGCCGCCATGGACGAAGCAGGGAAGCTGGTCTTCCTGTCCTCTGACGGAGACCACCTGCAGTTCTCGGAGGGCTGGTTCCAGCAGAACCTGCTGCCCCTCCTGAAGTAGGACCAGAAGCTCCGCACCGACTGTAGCACGGTGGTCTCCATTCTTCCTGCTGTTCCAACAGAACGTTCTGAGCCGGTTCTGATCGGGTCCAGCTGTTTGGGTTCATGGTTTTAAACTTGTTTTTGTATCTCAACTGTAAAAAGCTGATTTTATTTCAATAAAGACAAAACTGGCGTGAACTTATTGCAACTCTTTAATGGTTCTCAGAACTGATGTTCCGTTTCTGGACCCAGAAAATAAAAAGGGGAGGGGCTTAGAGACGGCCTCCGGCATGGAATGGTTCGAACTCGGGGAATGTTCTGTTGTACAAAATGGAGGACGAAGCATCTGATTGGCTGCAGAGGATCTAATCTATACGCTCAGCTTAGCTCAGGTGTGTCCAGACAGGTGCCAGCTACAGGTGGAGCTGCTCGCTGCTGATTGGCTGGAGGATCTGCTCCAGAGAGAACGCAGCCCTCTCATTGGCTAACAAAGAAACAGCTGCAGCTCTGATTGGCTGAAAGTGGTGAGGGAGGGGTTAACTATGAGGTCTGAATCAGGCTACAGTGACGTGGGGGGGGGGTTG